AAGCCCATCTGTGTAAAACACACCTCTGGTCCTTACGCACGCGTAACTCATGGTGTCATGCATCCAGTACTGATGGATGCTGTATGCACCTACATGCGAGGTAGCCCTGAACCTCAGATGATGATATGCATTCTTCTGATAGATTTAATTACTGTATTTTTATCAGTGTTGTTTATTTTCAAAAGTGTTGTCTGTGTGGGAGGAGCTGTCTGAAAGCACCCGAGGGTTGCCTGGGAGCACCTGCACCTTGGGTAGCTGCCAAGGTGGAGGGGATGCGTGGTAATTTTATATCCCCCAGTAACTTCCCGAGGGGCAAATCTAAGACAAGCCCTGCAACTACTGCTTCACTAGGCATAAAAACGTTGTCCTGCAGTCATGCAGTTGCAGTAACATCACTGGAGGGAATGAAAGAACTCGGGAAAATTAGTCAGCCAGGTGTGTGAGCCAGCGCCGTGGGCTCACGGACCCTACAAGCTGTGTAAGAGCATGTCCAGGGTCGGCCAGGATGTGCCACGTCTCTGTGCCGAGACCCCAAGCCCAAACTGCAAATCCTCTGCAGGATGGAGAGAGGTTTGGCCGCTGAATGACTTGGCCTCTCACCTGCCCTGACTTCTCTTCCCCTAGCCCTGGCCTGGTGCTACCTGGGGCTGCTGCTGGAAAAGAAAGAAAGGTTTTCCACACCCCGACGGGGATCCCAGACGGTGGCTTCTCTGAGACTGACCCCCTCGATTGCTTTGGCAAGGTGCTATAGCCAGCGCTGCTGCACCAGGGACTGATTCGAGGCAGCTGCCATCGCCTGCTTGGTCCTTCATTCATCTTACCCCATTCCTCAGCACTTTTCCTCCTGGAAATCCCCCAGGTCAAAGAGGGGAGGCCCCAGACAGCAGCCGAGACCCTCGGTCCCGCCATGTGCATGGCACACCCCTCTCAGGCCGCACGTTTGGCCCCGAAGGCATAAATCAGCTCACGGCAAAGCAGCAGGCGAGTGGTTTGGTGAAAGGCTGCAGGGACAACAGTACCTTTATTAGCTTCCCCCAGCACAGCTGGAAAAAATAAGGAGGACAGACAGGCTTTCAGACACATAACCCCCGAGCTTAGCCCCGCATTCAGTCCTGTCTGCTGATTTAATAACAGATATCAGCTTTCCCTGCAGGCCGCGTCTCTTGTATAGCCTTAAACCCTCCCAGTTAAAACACCGCTCCGGCGAATCAATCCAAGATGGTTTTGTCCCTTTGATCAGCACAGCAGGCAATAAGTCACCGATGGAAACGTGTTTCACTTCTGTGGCTCAAACAGGCGATAGAAATGGTGAAAGACAATCCTCCCGTCCTGAACCGCCTGGCGAAAATCTTCCATTTCCTGGGCAAGCAGGAGATGGCCAAAGGGATATGCAATATGGCACTGGATGTCCCGCGGGACCCGCAGCTCCACTGGCAGGCGTACTGCACCTGGGCGCAGGTAAGCCCTCATTGGGGCCAGCACAGCATGCTGGGTGTCCGAAGCGTGGACAGGTCCCCTTACCGCAGGGACCCGTCCTGCTCCTCCAGCCTCCAAGACAACCACGGCGCTTCTCCCAGACAGCGTTTGCGTTGCTTGTTTTAATTGTGGCGAGAAACACGCAGGGAGAAGTAACTGCCTGACAAAACCAGCGAAGGCTGGTCTGGGCATGAAGTTGCTACCTGGCAGCCAGGAAACCTGGGCCAGATCCTGGCTCTGGCACTGAGCTGCTGAGGGACTTCCCCAGGTCTCTCTGGGCAACGTTTCACAGGGTGCTGAGTCACCTCGCAGAACTGGCTTGACTATTTAATGACTTTAATGCTCCTAAATCACTCAGGAGCATCAAAAATGCGCTCCTTAATCCCTTGATCTTGCCCATTTGCAGCCCCTTGTAAACAGGAGTGCACATTTGTGAGTATTTCCCATTACAGAAGAATCATGAAGGTTTCTTCAAATCCCATTTTTAAATAAAATAAGGACTCATTCTTACTTCCTTATATTTAAACAGGATTATTTAACTCCTCATAAAATGAGGCTCGGTGAAGTGAAATCTCCTCCTCTAGTGGAGTACTTTAATATGTGCTTACAACTGCTCTTCAGAGATGTTTAACTGCCTTTGAGCTAGAGGCAGGAGGCTGAAAAGTGCAGCGTGGAGGTGGTCACTGGGTGCCCGGTGGTGTCTGTCTGCCAGGTTTGACTGGAGAAAGCTGAAATGACGTAGGAAAAAATGCTTTTGATTTCTCAGCCCTTCTTCAGGCACACTCCTACGGCCAAGTGGTTCAACCTCTGAACACATTAGGCCATGCTGCCCCCATACCTGAGCCTGGAACGGGGAACGGATGGGCTAGCTGCTTTCAAGGACCCCATGACCACCAAGAACCAAATTTACAGTCAAGGTCAACAGGATGAGCAGCATCTCAGGGGCTTGCAACTGGGCACCAAGCCAACCTGATGAGTTTCCTCCGGTCTCCAAATCCACATGAAGATGTATCCGCAAGATCTGGAACGTGCCAAGATGGGACAGGGCCCAGTGCCTGACAGAAGGAAGCTCACGCATGCTGAAAATGACCTCGAAAGGGTCCGCAAGGTTTGTCCGTGCCTGAGGACAAACCTGGACATGGGCCAGGTGAGCATGGGCACATCATACCCCTGAGATCCCGGGGAGCTCCTTGCAGTGTCCCCAGGCTTTCATTAACTCTCAGCCCTCAAGTTAGACCACAAAGGCTGAGGGGCCTGGCCCTTGGCTGCCTTTCCGTCCTGTTGGGCTCGGTTCCAGTTAGGTGTGAGGGAGATGGTGAGGTACAGCAGGGCTGAAGGCAGGAACAGGGAACAGAGGGATTGCTACGGTTAACGTCAGCCTTAGCTGGGAGGGAATTCAGAGAGCTTACGGGAGCGAAAAGCCACCTGGAGCCAAGCAGTGGGAGACATTAGACACAAGGATGGGAGCAGGACTGCAGCCCCGTGTGTACACTATGGACATGGTGCTGCGAGCAGGTCAGGCACACTCTTACTGCTCCTCTCCCCAGAGCCCGATGGGGAATGTCATCCTCGGAGGCAGCCGTTGGTCTCTCTTTTCTCCTGACAGCCCCATTTTGTCCTGCCGCCCCTCTATTTACTATTTTTGACTATTACATGAGCATGGATGCCGTGTGAGAACTGCTCCGGGTGGATGAAGCTCCCAGACAAAGCCATGGAGTTTGACCTGGGCGATACCATACCCAAACTGCAGCTCTTCAGGGGCAAATGCCTGTGGCTTAAAAGCCAGGAAACGCTCGCCATCGAGTGCTTCAAGCAGGCCATCGAACTGGACGACGTGGGTTCCACTGAGAGCTTGCGGTGCCTGCCGGAGCCACTGCTTCTGCTCTTTGGCCAGAAGCAGCTGAAGACGGAAATGCTGATGCAGGAGATGGAGCGGTAGGTTAAGAAAGCCGAGGAGAAATTCCCACGGCAGCACCTGCAGCAGGAGCTGAGGGCGGTCTGCTGCAACCGCACGCTGGAGGTGACCCAGCTCTCCAAAGCCGTGATCGCCTGGGGGAGGATGGCGCTGGCGAAGCTGCTGCTTGAGACAATGAAGGTCGACTCTTCCAAGGGCCGCCCAGCCACTCTCCCTCTGAGTCGTCAGGGTGGCAGCAGGTTCTGCACGGTGGCTGTCTCTCTCACGAGCTGTCAGGACCTTCTCAGTCTTCTAAAACCTAGTTGATTAAAAAAGCAACAGACAAATCCGTTGTGGTGTTAGGCCTGTCGTTGCTCCGCCGCCCCCGTCCCCGGC